TTTATTCATCTATTTAACATACCTTAGACGGTTTTAAAAACTCTTTTTCTCTTTTGTAATTTTTAAAAATTAAAAAAAAATGTGAATTTTTTAAAACCCTTTTTAATGTAGGCCAGTCAGTTCTAATATAGTGTGTGATAAAAGAGGTCACTTTTGTTTACATACACATAACACTTTATAACACTGAAATAATTCATTTATTTTTTACAATTATTCAAAGTAATTTTTCAATTAATCTTGAGCACGCCCATGGAGTGGTCGGAGGTACCAGTTAAAATTATGCTAATTACTCTCTTGTTCATAAAAATAAGCTATAATACTTAACTGTTAATTACTGCACAAGACCTTCTTTTATAATGAAATATAAATATCAGAAAACATTGAAAATCGACAATTTCTCCCAAGTCAAAAAACTTTCGAATAATTCCCAATTCATTCTACAGTTCCTTTACAAATTAAGTTCAGACTCTCTAATTCTGTTGCACAAATACGTTTTTACTTAGTTTTCTACGCAGATGGCACAATGGCCAAGCTTCAAGCTATATTTGACGAGTAGTAGAGTCCTAACGTCTCATAGATCGGTAAAAGATGGCAAAAGGGCTACAACCCCGATCTCACGTTTATATCTTCCAGCGAAAGGGGCTCAAAAAACGACTTTAAGAACGCCACAAGAGAAGTTCTCGATAACTTTCCTAGATCCGAACATAGACCAATAATTACAACATTGGGCACCAACATAGACCAATAATTACACCATTGGGCACCACCATCCCTATTATAAATTCAATCACTTTGCCAAGCTGGAATTTCCAGAAGGCAAGGTGGTAAGAGTTTAAATTCCAACTTGAAAGTGATATAAGACATATCAAACCAGAGGTCCAAAATTATGAAAGATTTGCATCACTAGTGATTAGCTATGCAAAAAAGCACATCGTGGAGTTACCAAATCCTACATCCCATGCTGGAATGACGTATGTAAAGAACTACTTGATCAGTATAAGATATCTTTAGATCCTGAAGTTGGTGAACAACTCTTAGAAACCCTAACCTCCGCGAGAACTACAAGGTGGACGGAAAAAAATCTAAATTTCACACACAGTAGCCGCACTGCATGGAACCTTCTAAGGAAACTAGAGTCTGGCACAAATAACGCTACAAAGAGAGCAAACTCTACAGCCCCAAAACCGGAACACATAGGCAAACGCATAGCCAACCTTTCAAAACCAGTAATAAAAAAAAATCACAAAAGAGAAGTTAGATGTTGCTCAATAACAAAGCCTACCAATAATGAAGCCTATCGAGCCAGAAGAACTTACAGAAGCTCTAAAATTAATTAAATGCCGCAAAGCCGCAGGAGTTGACAACATTTATCCTGAATTGGTCCAAATACCAGTAATTTACTTCTTGAATTTTACAATCAAATATTGACTAAGCAGAAGTTTCCAAAATCCTTCAAAACTAAACTAAACCTGGGAAAGACTCTGCACTACCTGAGAGCTACACACCAACTGCTCTTTTAGGCGTCTGCTATTAGATATTTGAGAGGGTTATAAAACGAGATTATTTTACCTTGAAAAGCCAAATATTCCTCAAGAACAAGCTGGATTCATGCCGGGAAGAAGCTACAATATTTTATCGAAAGGGCTGTGCGATGATAATGGAAATCTACAACTAGACCTCGACAAAATAGTTAGAATTTGTGGAAACTTATGTGGCACAACTGTTTAATGATGACCGTCCTAGTGGCTATACACTGAGCAATGATGATACTGGCCCTTCTATTCTAAAATCAGAAGTGGAGAATGCTATAAAGGGTCTTAAAAATAACAAAAGACCAGGCAACGATAACGTATACGGGGAGATTCACTCCTCAGACTCTTTAACAATATTTATAGCAGCGGGGAGTTTCCTGAAGACTGGCTAGAGTCAACTTTTGTTGCCATACCGAAACAACCAAAAGCAAAGTCTTGTGATCAACATCGGATGATAAGTCTAATTAACCACATTTCGAAGGCATACACCAAGGTTATTTACAACAGAATAAGCAAAAAATGCGAGGATAAGATTGGAGATTCGCAGTTTGGGTTTTAGAATTCTCTTGGGACAAGAGAAGCACTTTTTAGTCTACAGGTACTCATCTAGCGCTGAAGAGATATGAACAAAGACGTGTACATATGCTTTATAGACTACGCAAAAGCATTCGATAACGTAAAGCACGAAAAGATAATTGAAGTTCTCCATAAGATCGGAGTCGACTACAGAGACATTCGAACAATAGCTAGTCTCTATTGGGGTCAAACAGCTAAAGTGAAAGTAGGATCTACATTGACCAATAAAATTGAGATCAAGAAAGTGCTACGACAGGGCTGTATCTTGTCTCCTATTCTCTTTAATATATACTCAGAAGAACTATTTAAGACAGCGCTGGAGGAAAGCATAGAAGGCATAAAGATAAATGGCGAAATAATTAATAACATAAGGTATGCTGATGACACTGTGATTCTAGCAAGTAGCATGGAGGAACTAAGTTGCCTAGTGAGTAAGATACAAAAAACAAGTGCACAATACGGACTCAGACTAAATACCACAAAAACCAAATGGATGTTAGTAAGCAAAACCCAACTACCACCACAGCAACTGATATTAGACAATGAAAGAATTGAACACGTGGATTCGTACATCTACTTGGGAACAACAGTTAACTCAAATTGGGATCAAGCGAAGGATTAAGGAAGTATAAGAGTAGAAAAGGCAAGAGCATCGTTCACTAGCACGAAGCAAATTGTCACCTCTAAAAGCCTCACCCTACCTCTCAAAATTCGACTTCTGAAATGTTATGTATTCCCGGTTTTGTTATATGGAATGGAGGCGTGGACAATGACCGCAACATTAATGAAAAAAGTAGAGGCCTTCGACATGTGGGCTTACCGACGTATATTACGTATATCCTGGACTGAGCACGTGACCAACGAAGAGGTACTACGCCGGATAGGTAAGAGAGAGAGGTAGGAACAAGTATAAAGAAAAGAAAGTTTGAATACTTGGGTCACGTTATGAGACATAATAAATATAGAGTACTACAGCTGATCGTTCAAGGGAAAATAGACAGCAGAAGGGGTCCAGGAAGGAGAAGACACTCGTGGCTCCAAAACTTGCGGCAATGGTTTGGATTGTCATCTGCTGAACTATTCAGATCTGCCGTAAACAAAGTCAGAATAGCTATGTTGATTGCCAACGTTCGGAACGGACAAGGCACATGAAGAAGAAGAAGAAGCTGTGGCGATCAGGTCATCTCCTTAACAACATTTATTTAGAATGGATTTTAGAAGAAACTTAAAATAGTAGCAGCTTTTATAGACTTGACGTGCGCCTACGACACAGTGTGGAAGGAGGGTCTTTTATTTAAAATATACCAGATGGTACCATGCCGTTCGTTCAATAGTCTGATAATCCAAATGCTAAGTGACAGACTTTGGAAGTACACCTAAATGGGAAAAACAATAAGTTCAGAAACCTTCAAAACGGTTTACCACAAGAGTCAGTTATGTCTTCTCTTCTTTTTTAACATTTATAAGTCAGATGTACCAACTACCACCTCGCGCCAATTTATTTATGCCGATGACATGGCTTTGAGTGCTCAAGAAAAAGACATAAAAATCGCCGAAACCACCAAAGAAGCAGATCTAAACATAATACATACTGTTAACAGGTACTTTAAGAAATGGGGCCTACAACCAAACCCATCGAAGACTAAAGTGTTTCATTCTTAACAACCACAGGGCAAATTACAGACTAAACAATGGAATGGAACCATTATAAAGCACAGTTCGAACCCAAAATACCTTGGCGTAATTTTAGATCGTACCCTAACATTTAAGCAGCATTTGGAAAAACATTTCAGCAAAAATAAAGTCCCACAATAACATTATTCAGAAATTAGCAAATACATCATGGGGGTCTAATGCAGAGGTGATCAGAACAAGCGCGCTGTCCTTAGTATATCCTACTGCAGGATATTGCGATCCTGTTTAGCTAAACAATCATCACAAAAACGTCATAGATACCCAGTTAAACCAAACAATGAGGCACATAACGGGAACTATAAAGCCCACACCAACCCAATGGCTTCTAGTCTTAAGCAACATCGCTCCAATAGCAACAAGACGACTAGCCGCACTCAACACCCTAGTTCAAAAATTCCAAAAAAACCCAGCACTACAGATAAATACAGACATTTCTGAGCTAGACCAAAGAGAGTTAAGACTAAAATCCAGACATCCCCTACTAGAACTGCTAAAAGATTGGCTGATTTCACTACTGAGGAACACTGAATGGACGAATGGAATACAGATATCAGAAATTCTAATCTGATAGAAAACCCTACAAATAAACCAGACGGCTTTTCTCTTTTTTGTCGGGAATGGAGCAACCTTAATAGCATACGAGTTGGTCATGGAGTTTGTAACAAGTCTCTGAACTAGTGGAGTATAAATGCCAGTCCGGATGTGACAAATGTAGCGCTGTTAAACAAATAATTAACATTGTTCATCTCCGGGGTATGATTCAGGTACATCAAGTTTTTTTAAAAACTGCTGGTAAATTGCACTAACTTGATCCAAAGTGCTTTTGTCAAAGAGGTCATTGCAACTGCTTATCATCTCAAATGTATCAGCCAATTTCTAGTTTATCAAATTCTATCATCCAAATAACTTTCTGAAAGAAATGACATGGAAGATACTTTTAACAAAGATACAAAATGAAATGCTCTTGAATTAATGAATAAAGATGCGATATTTACTGATATATCTAACACTGTAACCAATCCTAGGAATACTTATTACGAAATGGTTTATTCTCCAATTTCGAGCACAGACGATGATAGGCCTCCTTCAAAGTTTTATCTTGATAAATGATACTGTTGATCGAAAATTAATTGAAAAAGAAAATTTACACACATCAAAAATATATGTATTAACAGTATCTATTATTATAAAACTTACCCCATAAAATAATCCTCCTTTTTCAGGTGCGTCAACAAACGGTATTTTGGAGATGATTCCTAATATAGGATCATCGTAACCGTCGAAGAGCAATTCACGAGCTGTTTTGGTAACGTAGAGCTGAGCACTTCTAGAACTGATTCCGAGCGAGATCATTTTTTTAGTCCAGTAACCTTGGAATCTGGCTTGGTATCCTATACTCTGAAAATTTGTAAATATTATAAAAGTGGAATTAGGGTAGACTAAGATTAAGTGGATTAAGGTAGATTAAGTCGGTAGGAATAAACTCTTAAGTATTAACCCCAAAAGTAGTCTTAAAATGTAATATAATAAATAACTGATGTTTATTATCAAAATAAATGTTTAGTATTTAAATATCCTTTAGAGTTCGTTTCACTTCTTCAATCTATGACGTGCCAACGAATATTCATTGGGTGCCAATTTGTAACCCTTCGAAGCTCAATTTGTAACATCCCAACGTTGAGCTGCTGTTGTCAACTTGTAACCGCAAACCTTAGTTTACTGCTACAACCCGACTAACATCACTAACAACGTTGTAGCGACAAATCGTTTCCCGTTGGGACCAATTTTTAACGTCATAACCCCTAATGTATCAATTGCAAAATTGCTACATTAGACGTTATAATGTTATGTAAATTAACACATGTTTATTAAAATATTAAAAAAAAAATGACAGAAAAATGAATGTTTAAATATGATATTGAATTTAAATAAAAATTATTCGACTTCTTGCTACAGTGTTGCATTATAGTAAAGAAAAATGTTTGTCACCAAATCCTAGGTTTTATCCTGGTCTTTTCTGCTATGGTTGTTAGCAAGCCATGTTGTTAGCTGTGGATTTTCTTGCCCCGGAGCCAACTCTCCTATCGGAATGATAGTGCCATTCTCAGGCCGGTTGGTCTTCTGGATGTTAATAGAATTTGACCCGCACCTGAGAAATGTATCCCGGAGGTTAACTCCTAATCAGGAGACGACACAACAATTGGTTATTGTACTTTTACAGAAGTCATGAAGAAAATCGACATTTTTAGAAATAGAAGCTATTATATCGACTTTTGTATCGAACGGAAAGGGGGAAATGTCAACAAAAAGGAGTCTTTGACAGACAGTCAAAAGGAACTCTAAAGGAAATGAAAAACAACAAGGTTCCGGGAGATGAATAAATAGTAATAGAAACTGTTAAAGTAGGAGGCAAGAAACTGCTGGAAGTAGTAACTGAACTATTCAACCTATGTCTAAACCAAGGTATTGTCCCTACAAAATGGAACAATGCAATTACTATCCTAATACACAAAAAAGGAGATATATCAGACCTAGAGAATTATAGACCGATAAGTCTGTTGTCACATCTCTACAAATGGTTTACCAAGATCATCACAAAACGTTTAGAACGAAAATTAGATTTCTATCAGTCTAAGGAGCAAGCTGGGTTTAGGAAAGGTTATGGAACAAATGACCACCTACAAGCACCTACTGACCGAGTAGACTATAGATATACAAATTTGATAAAACATATATACAAAAACGCAACAGTATCTGTTAAACTCCATGACTTTACCGATAAATATAGAATTGAGCGAGGAATTAGACAGGGCGACACCATCTCCTCCCAACTATTCACTGCAGCTCTGGAATATGCCTTTAAAAAACTAGAGTGGGCTAAAAGGGGAATGAATATTGATGGTGAATACTTAAGCCACTTGCGCTTTGCAGATGATATTGTCATTATAGCCGAGAATTTAAATGAAGCTCACAAAATGATGGAAGAACTAAAATAGGCAATAGAACAAATAGGCCTGAACATATACTTTAAAAAAACAAAATACATGACCAATTTAGTTCCAAGTGATGTAATGAGGGTAGATGGGAACGAAGTACATCAGGTCTTTAGCTATATCTACTTAGGGCATTAAATTAGAATAGGAAAAGATAATCAAACTTGTGAGATCCAGCGTCGCATAGGCTTGGGATGGGCAGCATTTGGCAAGATGCGAGATATTCTAAAAGGAACGCTACCGATTTGCTTGAAGAAAAAGGTTTACAACCAATGCATAATGCCAGTAATAACATATGGTTCCGAAACAATAACTTTAATCAAACATTCTGCAAATAAATTGAGAGTAACCCAAAGAAAAATGGAAAGAGCAATGTTGGGAATAACTAGAAGATATATGGTACCAAATAGGATAGCGAGAGAGAGGACTAAAGTGACAGATGTCATAGAAAAAATTGCACAAGCCAAATGGAGATAGGCTGGACATATAGCACGTTTAAATGATAATAGGTGGACCAAAAGACTCATAGAATGGAGACCTAGAGAAGACAAAAGACACCGAGGCAGACCACCAAAAAGATGGATTAACGACTTGAGAAAAACAGTCGGAAATTGGATACAGAAGGCGCAAGATAGAGAATAGTGGAAGAACATGGAGGAGACCTATATCCAACAGTGGATGCAAGAGGTTGAGGAATGATGATGATGATGATGATGATTTAAATATCCAATAGCCTGGATATTATACATATATATTATATATATATATATATATATATATATATATATATATATATATATATATATATATATAAATTTTCAACTTGTATAACTAAAAAGTGCTTACCACAGCAACAGTATTAATGGAGTTTATCACATCACTTAAATTTCTACCCTCCTTCTTCTCGTCAAAGAACGAAGACGTATACGTCTTGTAATTTACATAATCATCAAACATGGAAATATTACTCTTCCCCTTAATCTCATAGAACCTATAAGGTCCAAGTTCCTCAAACTCCGGCTTCACCGAATGATTCTTAATATCTTCAGGATTGGTCCAGTTGAATAAATAAATGTTAGTCTCAACTGGCGGACTCCTCGCCCATCCCTGGTATGCCTCAGAGTTCGGCTCAAATCTTAAGCCGTAGTTTAAGAGAAGATCGTAAATGGATTCGAAGAAAATGAAGACGCAGCTGCCGAAGCAGATAAGGAAGATTCCTGTGAACAGCAGACATACCGTCCACATTGTTTGGTTTGATGCATCACTGGAGTTCTGAAATAAAAGACAGTATATCAGTAAAATCATTTGTACACTAACACCAAATAATAAATAATGGAAATTTGTTTACATTCTTGGTATTTCTGCATATTAATTCTAACATTTCTGATTCTGAGATAACTTGGAAGGAAACCAAATAATCCAGTGGACGCAAGTCGCGGACTTAACTTACGAACAAGAGTCAAAATTGTCTTTCATTTGCCCATGAAAATAAGATATACAGGGTGAGTCATGAGGAACTTTACATACTTCTACCATATGTAGAGTCCCTCAGGGAGCATATCATGTGGCCACTAAAAAATGTCAACTGTCTTCTTTATTAATTAACAGGGTGATTTGTGTATTTGACCATTTATTTCATTTTACTGTAGTGTTTATACGGCTCATTTGATTTTTTTAATTTTTGCATGATACAGTACACTACTATCTAGCATTCGACTGGTATTAGCTAAACTAAAAAATTCCAGGACTGGCTTTGGCAAAATTAATTTAGGGATTCGTATTAAATATTACACCCTTTATATATATTTTTTAAAATGAAATAAGTGATTTTCAAGCTACATAAATAGCCAATGAAAACGTCATATGCGACAATGTTGTCGCACTTTTATTAAATTTTTAGTGAACGATCAAATCTTACCAAAAATAGAACAACCATATTGAAGTATCAAATTATGAGGTAATTAATTTAAACAAATGTTATAAATTTCAAACATTTTAATTGAAATGATAAACTGAGCCACTGCATAACAAAAAACAGTAACTACTAACAATAACGAAGAACAATTTAAAAAAAAACTAAAAATATGTACATAGTTATGATAAACCCATAAATTAGAACTGGAAAAGATACAATAATGGTAACAAAATAAAAATAATTCAAAATAGATTTTTGAAATGGAACCCTGCAGCCTGTACACATTTTTGTTGCCAAATTGTTAATTGACGTATTGAATTACGGATACTCTGGGGATCGTTTCTAATAGTATTACAACAATGTATAATCCTATCAATTAATTGTTGTCGGTTATTAATATTCACTGAGTAAACTAGTTGCTTCAATCGTCCCCAAATATGGTAATCATCGGGATTGAAATCACGGGATCTTGAAGGCCACGAAATAGGATCTGCACGTCCTATCCACCTGTTGCCATAAACATTATTGAGATGTTGTCTCACTGCCAGTAAAAAGTGTGCGGGTGTCCCTTCATGCTGAAAATACATCCCTCGGATAGCAACGTTCGCGTTGGCAAGCAAATTCGGCAAAATATTTTGTAGAAAGTTCAAATGAACCTGCCCTGTTAAAGGACCATCAAAAAAAGTGAGGACCTACTAATTGGTTATTTATGACACCAATCCACACGTTAACCGAAAACCTTAACTGAGAACGACGTTCTCGAATAGCATGGGGATTTTCTTCTGCCCACACATGTGAATTTCGTGAATTATTTATCCCGTCTCTGGTAAATTGGGCTTCATCTGTAAATAGTGTCCTGTATAGCGTTGGTCGATTATTGTTAATCCATCTACAAAATTCCAACCTATCGATCTCATCTCCAGCATGTAGTCGCTGAACCATTTGAATGTGATATGGGTATAGATTATTTTTTTGTAAGACTCTACTTACTTTTGATCATCTTCCTGCGCTTCATCTATATGTGGCTCTGTTGTTCCACTAGGAAAAGTGCGATTTTCTCGCAAATAATTAAAAACTGACCCAAATGTTGGATGACTGGGAGTTCGACGATTAGGAAATCTCCTGCGGTATTCTCTACTAGCAGCCCTACCATTCCTATTACAGAATCCATAAACAAATATTATGTCTGCATATTCTGTGGTCGAAAACTGATGTGGCATTTTGAACGAAAGTAACAAAAGCTCTACCAAAACTAACACAATGTACTTAACGTAGATATGACAGAAAAAATATGTTTTCTTGTACACATAAATAACAATCGATAATGACAATAATGACAATGGGTATAAAATATCAAGAAACGTCAAACGGTCAACGCCAACCTTCATTTTAAACTTTTTTAGATTTATTTTTATTTAGTACAGTTGATGCAATGTATTATTATTTGACATAAAATTTTAATCATTTACAATCAACAAAAACTAATACATACAAGGGGTTTGACTTTTTAATCAATTTAATTTATTATTTATCGAAAATAATGCCCCAATACGATCTATGAGTAAACATTTAAAATTGAAAAACAATTGATTCTATCGTAGAGATAATACAAAGTGACAGTAAAGATGTTAATTTTCTACGTATTACATTATGTTGTAGGAACTTATTCTTAATATTGTTCTGAAGCTATTTTCTTGTGGCATTGTAAATTAATTACTATTTATAACTGGGAATAAGCCACAATTAAAGATAAAAAATACGTTTATTGACGTTTCAATTTCCAATTCGGAAATCGTTCTCAAAATACAAACAGTAAATTAAACAAATTTTGTTTTTTGTTATTGGAACTTATTCTGTTTGAAATTTATAACATTTGTTTAAATTAATACCTTATAATTTGATACTTCATTATGGTTGTTCTATTTTTGGTAAGATTTGATCGTTCACAAAAAATTTAATAAAAGTGCGACAACATTGTCGCATGTGTCGTTTTCATTGGCTATTTATGTAGTTTGAAAAGCACTTATTGCATTTAAAAAAAAAATATATACACGGTGTAATATTTAATACGAATTCCTAAATTAATTTTTCCAAAACCAGTCCTGGAATTTTTAAGTTTAGCTAATACCAGTCGAATGCTTGATAGTAGTGTACTGTATCATGCAATAATTAAAAAAATTAAATGAGCCGTATAAACACTACAGTAAAATGAAATAAATGGTCAATTATACAAATCACCGTTAATTGATAAAGAAGAGGAGTTGACATTTTTTAGTGGCCACATGATATGCTCCCTGAGGGACTCTACATATGGTAGAAGTATGTAAAGTTCCTCATGACTCACCCTGTATAATACAAGTTTTAGGGAATTTTCAGACGCAAATACAATAGCTCTGTAAATACTATTTACATTCAGACTACTTCTACTGAGCAGAAGAAAGTTAACATCAACAAAAAACAATCAAGGCAACCACAAGACAATGCAGAGGTCAGAATGATGACCTACTAACAACAAAGAAATATGTATTAAATAGATACGTGAAATACTTTAAGCAGGCACTTATACTCCGACTATTATCAGGAAAAAGTCTGTTGGATAGGGAGAGAAGCAAAAACATAAGAAGAGCATGCAACAAGAGCAAAACAAACACAGTAATATGGCAGAGGATAGAATAATACTAATAGATAGTACCATCTACCACCAAATGGGCAAAGAAATATTGGCAGACCAAGAAAAAGATGGTGAAATAATTAAAACAATTTATGAGGCTAATATTAAGAAAGAAACAGGCTTTAAAGCCTACATACAAGAGGGAAGAAAAAAAAGAAGACCAAAGATAACATAGTTGCTTTTATCCATCTACATAATGCTTTTAGATGTGGTAATGGATTAAGTCAGCAGTAAAAGGAAATCGACAGCACACACATACACAAATATTTCTGCCGTCATTCATAAATACTCGTTGGTAATTCATTAGCCAATCCATCTTATAGCACGCCTTATAAGGATACTAGGATACTAGGATACTAGTTGGTCAACGACCCATAGAAACCTAAATGTTATTCAGGTCTATGCTCCAAATGACAAATCAGAGAAAGAAATTGAAAACTTTTATAACAATATAGATGAAATATTGCGACTGAAAAAAAGGCAAGATAACGAAGATTAAGGGTGACTTTATCTCCAAAATTGGTAGTGGTTCCAAAGGAGACAACATATGAGCATACGGTCTTGGTACCAGAAACAATAGGGAAGATAGATTGATACAATTCTGCGTAGAGTACAACCTGTTAGTAGCCATCACCTTCTTCAAATAACATCCTAGAAGGTTATACAGTAGACTTGGTAAATCATTTACAGACAGAAAAGATAAAATTGTCAGAAATCAAATTGACTTCATTTTGCTAGATAAAAACTTCAAAAGGTACATAAAATCGTCTAAAACGAATCCTGGAGCTGATAGTGATAGCGACCATATTTCAGTTGTAATGGATTTTAGACTACAAAGGTTTCTTAAAGCTAAAAGAGAAAAAGTGTTAAGCAAAATAGACATCTCACAACTGAAGAAAACAACTAAAAAGAAAAATTTAATAAGTATCAAGGTTGAGAAAGAAATAAAAACGCTAGAGAACTTGATACAAACAGACGTTGAAGTAACATAGACTGCACTTAAAACGAAAATAGATAACGCAAGAGATCATGGACCTCATTGCCGTAAGACGAAAATATAAAACAAACTTAATAGAATACAAACTATTCAATAAAATTATTAAAAAAAAAAGTACAGAGAAACAGAAAAAAACTGAATGTCAACCAAATGCCTAAAAATTGAACAACTTCATGTAAGATATGACACCTTTAATGTCCATAAAGAAGTAGAAGAAATGGCAAGCGAATACATAAAGAGACAAGAAACAATATTAAGAAAGGAGACGGCGCAATAAGTAGTTGATGACGTTCAGATCCAATCCTTGGTATGAATTCAATCTTGATGATAATCCAAGCAAGCAATAACAGGCCATTCGAATTCTGATCAATTTTTACAGAAGTTTTGGCATTTTTCTCTTTAGTCAGATGAGTACACAAACTACAAACACAAACACATAAACACACAGTTTTACAAATAAAAAATATACATACGCATCTACTTCCAACGCGATAGGAACAATCATTACGGAATATCTAATACTGATCTAAAGTTTAAGGATTCCACTTTACTTAATAATTCCTTAACAAACAAGTTGTTTTAAGTAAATTCATATGCAAATAATAAATTAATTTTTATTTTTATCGGTGCCAAAGTTAATTTAAGAGTAAGATGGATGTTAAGTAGATTGTATGAACAACAAATAATGT